ATATTGGTACTCAAGCCGGGCAGCCACGCTTCCTGGCTACAACGTACATATTTATCTACACAGGCAAGTGAATGACCGTAAAATCAAACTAATCAAATGATCTACTGTGGCGAGTTAATTAAAATTAGTCAATCAATACACCCTTAGATATACAAATGTTCAGCCTTCCAATATTTCACCAACAAAGATAACCATTGTGCATTATTGCTGAACACTCTGTGCCTTTAAATGATCACGGCATAAACTTGAGTGACGTAAAACCTCATTAAATTGTTCACACCTTGCAGCATCCACGAACGAAAAAATATATATAATGATCCTCAGAATGGATACAAAACACTGCATTGTTCAAGTCTACGCACGCGGTGCGCTGAGCCTCAAACAGACCCTGGAGCATCGTTTCACACGTCAGCTGACTTCACACAGCAGCCTTTGCAACAGTTCCAAAACCGCCTCCCACCCCGCAGAAGAGAATGATTTGTTTTTTATTGATAGAGCGCCCTTCAATACGCTGGGGCATCTCTGAGCACTTCACATCGCATCTCATCTTAAACATATGAAAGAACACTGCCGGTCTTCTTGGTTCTTTCGGTAAAGTCACGTAGAAAGGAAGTAATAAAATAATAAAAATAAAACATAATAAAATAATTCTCACGACGTTTCGGCCGCAAGCTTGCGTAATTCTCACGACGTTTCGGTCGCAAGCTTGCGTTGCGGCCGAAACGTCGTGAGAATTATTTTATTATGTTTTATTTTTATTATTTTATTACTTCCCTTCTACGTGACTTTACCGAAAGAACCAAGAAGATGAATCCCTGCAGTCACGAAAGCTTTAAATCGAAACACTGCCGGTGCCAGCTGTGCGTCTGGACACAAGGTGACTGAGCACTCTGCCTGCAAGCAGACAACAAGCCTGCAAGTAGTAGGGGTCGAGGAGTGCTATGTTTAATCCCAATTGAGACATTCGAAGGGATTTTTTCGAATCTGGAAAATGTGGACCCCAGACGCCGGCACACGATGGCCTTGCTCTTGCGAACGTTGTCAGGGGATCTTGAACTTCCACCGTGAGTGAAGAACATGGCGCATGACATCGTCACGTTTAAATTTCGATTTAAAGCTTTCGTGACTGCAGGGATTCATCTTCTTGGTTCTTTCGGTAAAGTCACGTAGAAGGGAAATAATAAAATAATAAAATAAAACATAATAAAATAATTCTCACGACGTTTCGGCCACAACGCAAGCAGCTGTCCGCATGTGGAGAGCAGGTCTGTCGAGTAGACAGAGTCTGAATTCAGAGTTTATTATACCCCCAGTAATTATAATCGGGGCGGCCGCTGGATTTGAACTGTGAACCTCTGCAATATTACCCGCAAGCATTTGTTTAAACGCAGGGAAATCCTGGACCGGTTTAAACTTTCATCAATCGAGAGGCGTGCCTGTTAAACAAACGCAGTCGGCTTGTCCTCTGGCACGAGCGAGAACTCTCCATGAATGTTCCCGAGCCCAATTACCGAAACACAGCAGCGGCACTGTACAGCATGCACTGTGGCCTGTCGCGGTGAATTGTGAGCAATAAAACAATAACGGGGTCTGTGTTACACCACTTACAAAAAAATATATATAATATTTTTGGCACAGCAGCCGACATTCCGTTGCAGCCATTAGTGACGGGCCAAATTGTTATTGTTATTTAAAGATGATGAAATCATTGGCTGTTAATTTATTATGTTATTATCCGAGACACACCACATGGGGTGTTGCGGCAGAAAGCATGGTGTTCCATGATCCACGCTGACGTGGATCTGATTCTTGACCACGGCGGCGAGTGATATCAGAACAGACCTTGGGGTGTGGGGGCGGAGTCTCCTTGACCCAGCCTGCACTCACCAGCATGGTGAAGTATGTTCTAAACGTGGGTCGAGGCTTTCATCAACAGTGGACTGCCGAATTCGTTATCTTGACACACAACCGCGCGTAAAATATGTTGCTGTATCGATGCTCCCAGTCAAGTTGTGGGAGACCACTCGTTCTCCTGCGTTGCTTAATTTTGTGTTGACTCTGTTGTCCTTCCCCCGCACCTCCGATTAGCGCGGTTGGCTATGTACGGTGCGAAAGAAGTCCAACATAATACATACTCAGAGTCTGAAACGCCTTTCCCCCTGCCGCCTGTGCTGTGGTTCCCTGTCCCAGTCTAGGTCATGACCTTCCTCTGTCCCTCTGCCTCCGACTGTATCTTTGTCTACGTGACATAAACAAGCCTCCTTTCTCTAGAATGCCACATGCCGACTGTTTTGTGCCATATCTTGACAGGCAGTTGCATTTTGATGCTGTATAACATTAAACTTTCTTTTTTTTTATAACTGACACTGAAGCCCTTTGTCAATCCACTGCTGGATGAACAGCCTCCCTTCCCACGCTGTTGTTTGACCACGTTTCACCTCGCGCTGCGCAGTGCAGGTGTGGCGAGATCGGTCGGGAGGTTCCCAGGACAGGTTCAGATACCTCTCGCCGCTAATGTTAGCTGTGGCCAGGAATCGAAAATAAGTCGGTTCAAACAAAGCAGCGCGGACTAATCTCCATCGTACGTTCTATTGGCAAGAATAATGAAGCTCCTTTCTGATCGCAGGATACTGAGAAGCCCAGAGGCATGGCCTTCAGAAGCCAGATAGATGTTCCCAGTATGAGGCAGGAAAGGACCCATTTCACTGGCCATTCTACATGGAGTGAGCTGGCTGTGGTTACAAGGCCATGCCGTCAAATGCCTTCCATCTCCACGGGTGGCCGAGGCCAGATGTTGGAGCCTTCCCTCTGCCCATATTGAGCAGCAATCAGCTGAGTGCACAATGAAATAATGAAATGCCTGCCCGAGACACACGCACACGCACACACAAAAAGCCAGAAAACCCTCACGCACGTGTGGAAATGGACTACTTATTGTTTCAGCTCACCCTTCCACCCACCCACTTCCATTGGCGTCTAATGAATGAATTGGGTGGGCTATCTGATTCGCCAGTTCTTTGAGCAATCAATTAATTCAATATTTCAATAGACAAAGTGGACGCATAGATGGATGGGGCTATGTGGTGGGAAGCAGAGGGCGGTTGAAAAATCGATTGTTGTAATGTAATTCTATGCTCCCCCCACCGAAACTGACCAGCTTGGTATAGTATGGTCTACGAACTCGCCGTGACCTGCAATGGTGTGGGCAAGGCTCTCATCCACCAGAGGATTGACTAAGGGCTGTAGATCTACAAGTAGATTGATGGACCACTGTGCAAGTGACAGGACAGGAGAGCAAAAAAAAAGGCGTCCACCTCTTTGCTCGCCGTCCTGCATACACAGAGAGTCTAATGAGACATAAACAAGATAATTGTTTTTTTACCCTTCTATCTGGCAACAAAACTGACACCTTTTTTACAAGGAGTCATGTTTGCATAGACCACAATACCTGCAGCCATAATGCAAACAAAAAACATAACTCTGATAATATATGCACTGTCCTTGAAGTTGATCGGTCCACACCCGAGACAGCTTTCTTTAGAGCATAGTCTCACATTGGGTTGGACCAGATGACGCCAAAAGGCGCAATTATCATATTTTTTATTACTGCCAAATGAGATTCCAATGGTGAGACATAAACAAGGCTGACGAGAGGGGCGAATCACCGCGTGTCTTGCCGAGTGTATATGCACACACACGTGCAACCATACCCCGGTTTACGTCGGGAATGCGTTCCCGCAAGGTGCGACGACGGCTTATCGAGACGACGCCAATCGAAGCGATTGACAGGGCGAGGTGGAGGCGAAGGCCGAGAGGCGACGTGGTCAGAGGAAGGTCGACACAGACGACGCCGTCAGCGCGGTGAGTGCGGCTCGAGGCGACGCAAACGAGGTCGCGGAGCTCATAAAGTGACGACGCATGTGTGAAACGACGTAAAATGGGGAGACGTCGATCGTGGTGTTATTGTATACACCCTGCATAAACAATGAAACAGTGGGGAACATTTAAACTGCGTAGAAGCGATAGGCATATCGCATCAGAACATGTGCATTAAATTAATAAATACGATTTATCTCATGAACATGTCCGAACAACAGCACTTCTATTATCAAAACAGATGTTGACTGAAGACCTCTGCTGATGGTGCATTGAGAGGGTTATGTGAAAAGGCAAAGTGAATCATGCCCATCAGTGTCTGCCTTGATTATCTCACAACCCTAAGTCAACAGCAACCAAGCGAATGCTTCCTCTTGTCCATACCACAAGCGCTACTGGGTTTAACTACAAAGTCAAGATTTTAAGCTTTCGTGACTGCAAGGATTCATACTCTTAGGGTTTTTCGGTAAAGTCACGTAGGTAAAAATTAAAATTAATAAAAGTAAAATAAAAAATCACGACGTTTCGGAGGCAACACAAGCTTCCGTCTTCAGGTGGAACCGTCACAGCACGATTGCTGTATCAAGTGATAGCTGTATTGCTTGATACAGCAATCGTGCTGTGACGGTTCCACCTGAAGACGGAAGCTTGTGTTGCCTCCGAAACGTCGTGATTTTTTATTTTACTTTTATTAATTTTATTTTATTTTTTTACCTACGTGACTTTAACGACAAAGTCAAGATCCGAACGGGTTAAAGCCGTAAACAATTCCGACAGACGCGGATGCGTGTATCCACCCTGAGCTTGCCAGTCCCAGTGTGGGTGTGCACATGCAAGGAGCGTGTTCAATGTAAACGGATTTTAATTGTGAAAACAGAAGCGCGGAGCTCTGCAGCCGTCAACATCGCACTGTGAGCCAATGATTTGTTTGTTGTTGTTGTTATAGTCAGAGATTACAGTAACGCGAAACATACTCGGTCAGAAAAAAAAACATGCACTTACAAATTCCTTCGTAAAAATAATAATGATTATTACGCTTGCGTATCAGCACACATATACGAATCGGACCGCCACGTCGCAAAGCGGCCGCAAGCATTTATGGAATCAATGGAGATCATTCTTACCGTGAATCAGGACCCATAGGATGTGCCACACGTTCAAGTCCATGGTTCCCAAACAGCTAATTTTGAGTCCAAAGAATCCTAAAAACTCCAGGCAGAGCGATGAAGGTGAGGCTCTTTTAGGTTTTGCAAGCAGAGGCGAGGAACAAGCCAGGACGCTTCTCAGTTTCAGAATAAAAAAGCCACCAATTTCCTCTTTTGTTACATTTTAGATCTCAACATTTATTAACTCTGCCATAATGTGGCACAATCTCGACCAAGGACTGCTCAAGATTCGGGGAAATGCTTGGTGGGAGCCGGAGGAGTTCTGAATCTCGCGTGCATCAGGGGAGGGTGGAGGGGTTCGTGGGCGGAGAGAGGGAGGGCTTCTGGCGGTTGATATGGGTTGTTTTTTTAGAAAAGCGTGGTGGACGGGGGTGGGTGGGAATGAGGATACACACTGGGTTGGAGGCAGCAGTGAAACAGGCTGCGATACACACAGCACGTACGTACGCACGCACGGTCTCGGATTTTTGCGGTGAATCTGTCTGACCGCTGTCCCCTGAAGGGGCTTTCAGAATGGTCCTCTTCAGCTCTCGTTTTCCTTCGTCTTGAAACGTTGGAGCACAACTCTTTACCAGACACAACTCCTAGACGTGACATTACACGCAGACTGCCATGTCGGTCTCTGCCGCGCGAGCTCATAAACTTAATTAGAAAAAAAAGGGAAAGCAGAGGTTTCGGCTCGTGGCCCTCAATTACCCACCAGGAATGAAGGTGTGCTACATTTCCCCACATGCCAAACACTCGTTCATTGAATTGGCCAGACGTTGCAATGCAGCACCCGCCTGAATATTGAGTCTTGAGACTCGGGGATTTGACACGCGTAAATAACTGGCGTTCATCAGTTTAACACGTCGGCTTTCGCGACCGATATCATCCATAATAGAGGTTGTTGTTTTTGTTTGGGTTAGATCGCGGAAATAGATAAATGTGTCGTTAAACCCGCCACCACCCGACACAGCCAACTAGTAAAGGTTGTCACGTAAACAGACGTTCATGTAATTATTACATTTACGGGCCACTTCACGTGAACGACATCCGCAATGCATTTCCTGTGCAAACGTCGCTCTACATTCCCCCCAAACGCTCATGAAGTGGCAATTAAACCACATTGTTGTTATATAATGAAGAGTCAAATGTGACTTGCTTATTTGGTCGCTAATGTGACCAAATGTGTTTAAACTAAATGTTCCGGATAACACGCAAGTTGGAAATGTTTTTCAAATTGGCAAGAATGTTAATCGCCGCTCTGCTGAAACCCGCCGACGGAACAGCAGACTTGGGATTGTGGGACACTCTTTGCGATCCCCGGTCGACAACTGTGTCAGAGCGACAATCTTCCAACTGCGCGCATCGCCCATGAGCATGCACTGCTACCGCAGCAATGCGTCTGCGTTCAACCGTCTTCACCTTAACACACGGCAAACAGCTCTGAGCGAAAGCACAAGCCCTTCTTTGGACATGCTTGCAAGCTGACTAATGGCTGTTAAAGCAAACGATGTCAAGCTTCGTAACAAATTACCGTCCGCTTCCCCGACAGCCTCTGCCCTCCTCACCCTTGTTCGGCACGCACGTGCAGCCAGGGCAGACGCGTCACGGGTGCCCCGTGCCAAACACATCCACGGCAACCACGCACCGCAAAGGAGGCTTGCTGGACTTTGGAAATTGTCATTGGTTCACCATTGGAACCTCATTGTCATTGGTTGGCACACTGGCTCTGATCGATGTGACTAAACCATACCTCTCAGACCGGGTCACTTCGAAGAGACTTCATCCTCTCATTTGATCATTGGAGGGATTCACTTCCGAGTTTTCACGATGAGCTTCGCCTGTGTGGGCTTTGTTGTTGTTGTCCTGCACAGCCTCAGTAGCGCCGACTCATGCGAATGGGACACTGTAAATTTGACCAACGCAACGACTTGGTAACATTTACCTGGAGTGTGAAAATGTTCTTCTTCTTCTTCTTGCATTCGCTGTCCAAGCGCAGGCTCAATTTCTTCCACCCGACCAATAATGCTGTTTCGACTTAGCCAGCTGGGTGGTGTAGCGGTGGAGGGCACGGCTTGGAAAGTCGAAAGCTGCTGGTTCAAATTCTGGTTGAGCCTGGACTCAAGTCAACAGAGGTGGGTTTTTTGAAAGACTCGCCCCGACATGTATGGACTTTCTACCAATGGCTCAGAGTTATAAAAGGAGAAAATTGCCGCTCCACACTAAGTTGAGTCGGAACAAATTGAGATTAGATTTTTGTATCTTACAGTCTTGATTGCTTCTGTTCGTTTTTCCATTCAGGCCCACGTTCTTCAGGTCACCAAGCAGCACCATCTTTTGTCTGCATCTTTGGCCTTTTCCTCGACACAACTCCCTTGAAACTTCCTTACACAAACTATCTCGAAACATTTCGTCCAATTTAGCCCTTCTGCCTCCAGTAGCATACCCACCGTGGCACGTTCTCTTTTTAAATCCTTTATATTAAGTTCACTTGCTTGCGTGCTTGCGTGCTTGCTTGCTTGCTTACGACCGTGCAAATCTTTCGGTCGTTTTTTAACCCACTTCCCGTGATCCAATCGAGCTGACATTTTGCACACAGACTCGTTGTGCGAGACAATTAATGTTCGTGAAAATTTTTTTCCAAAATTTTACACTGTTTAGGGAAAACAAATTAAATATTTAATTACCAATTGCTTAATACTGGCAGACAATCATCTGACCCATAGGTGGCAGCCATCTCAAGCCAGAGGACGAGAGGACTCTAGCCGCCACGCATATAAAGGATTTATAGTGAAAAACTTTGTTTTTACGGGTTAATTTTTTAAATCCTTTATATTAAGTTCACTTGCTTGCTTGCGTGCTTGCGTGCTTGCTTGCTTGCTTACGACCGTGCAAATCTTTCGGTCGTTTTTTAACCCACTTCCCGTGATCCAATCGAGCTGACATTTTGCACACAGACTCGTTGTGCGTGACAATTTATTTTCGTGAAAATTTTTTTTCCAAAATTTTACACTTTTTAGGAAAAAATTAATTATATTTAATTACCAATTGCTTAATGGTGGCAAGCAATCATCTGACCCATAGGTGGCAGCCATCTCAAGCCAGAGGACGAGAGGACTCTAGCCGCCCGTTTCAAAGACCAATGTCCTTATATACGACTTTCCTTATATTTAATTTAAAATACCAATGTGATAAAAATGAAACTCTTACTCAAGAAAAACAGAAATGAATAATAAAATAAAACCGATGCCACGCATAAAAAGGATTTATAATGAAAAACTTTGTTTTTACGGGTTAATGTTTTATTTCTTTCGATCAAGCTGATTTCTCTGCGTGACGCTAGCCCCCACATCTCAGAACATTCCATTTGTCCGATGTGCTCCGTTTGAAGGCACGCACAAGAACATTATAATTGCTGTATATCAACACAAGCGTGAGTAGTTGCGTTGCCCGCGTTAGGCGGGGATCTTCAACTCACTCGCACTGGCCACGGTGGTGAAGTATGGTCGCAATTGCTTTTCACAATTACGAGTGCTGCCCAAAGCGTGAAGAGAGCCATGCTAGGAATAACTATGATAGAAAAGAGAAACGGGTTGCTTTGTAAATACAGCATACGGAAGTTAGACACCACAATGACTGTTCAAAAATATTAACGGGCTTGGGCAGAGCACGTTGCTACAAGGTACGATAGCCAGTGGTCAAGACTAACAACACAGTGGCAGCTTCAGGAGGGAATGCGCATGACAGGACATCTGCCACGGACATGGAGCGATTAAATCAGCTCATGTGTAGGCGCTGGATGATTGTCCACATCGCAGGGAGAGGTAACCATGGCTTGGGAAGGCCTATCGTCCAGCATTTGATCAATCATGGCTGATGACGATGATGTATTTAATGTGCGTACATATTTGGTGGTATACATACTCAACACTCATTCCAAGCCATTAGAAAGGGGAGGATTTTTTTGTTTCCACTGCATTTGCACATGACCCTCTGACCTTAAACAATCCCGCTCCCCTCAGACCCAGCAGACATCATTCACACCACGGGAGTTAAAGCCTGTACTAAAAGCTACTTATTGGGTCATTTGAGCTATCCTCGGCTTAAAAAAAAAATAAAAAAAATCTTTGAAAATGTTCTCACAGAAGCAACTCCAGAAACATGTCCCAAGATTGTTGTTAATAATTCCGGTCAAGGCACGAATGGCAGTTGGTACCAGTAAATATGTGGCACACAGTGATTGGACAAGAGTATTCGTATCGGGTTGAGTTGAAGATATCATGCAATTATTTTTTATTATTGCGGGTATGCCTGGTTTATAACTTCAATTTGATTGCTTTTAGGCAAAAACATGATCAGGGACAAAAAAACGCCTTCGATTTTAACGTGGCGATGAAGAACATGGGAATAGAATAAATCTACACAAAAGTCAAATGTAATGCACACAGTTGACAATGGAACAGATAGACTGTTTGTTGCTTTGTCTATGCAATACTGTATATGATTTCCATCTGCTCATTCGTTTGAGAATTCCTCACATGTTCTCGGGAAAAGCACAAAATCCCGAAACCAGTCACTCCAAAACTCGCCACACAGCTGACTCGCATCAATGATCACATCCATGTTTTTTTTAGAAGATTGCAAACAAAATTATTTTAAATTCCTCTTCATAAAAAATATATACAATTTGATGACCATACTGTTCTTGTGGCGTTCGCGTGCCTGTGCTCGGACACACCTGTGTTGGTGTAATATCGCGTGCCTGTCAACCACGACGCTCGCGCGTGTGTGCGTTTCCGTGGGCACGCTTCGGTGCGCAGTCGATTCGCCCAACGAAATCGAGGCTTTCTTCCTGGACTGGCTTTGCAGCTTGTTTTTATTGCAACCAGCCCAAGTTTTAATGAAGTAGATTTCTAAAACATGTGAACACGAATTTTTTTCTTCCAAATCTGATACTGTTTTCTCCAATTTATTAGATGCCCTTTGCTCCTATATGAAAATAAAACGTTGCTGGTACATCTTGCAATCCGATCCGGTGTGAGTGTGTAACCAGATTTCAGATTTCAGTAATATTACTGACACTGGGCACAAGTTTCAGCCACTGGAGTGCCTTATAATCTCCAGAAGAAATAGGGCCCTTACTTGTTTGTTCTTCCACATTTTAAACATACGTACTATTGTCCTCAGCTAGCACGGTGCGTGTGATGATCATCAAACGATGGACACGTGCAGTTGACTTGCTAGGTAGGGTGGGGACGAGGATTAAACGTTAGCAGATTCAGTGT